CAACGAACAGAGAGAGGAAAGCGGCCAGTATACTTCCAGCCTTCATGTTATCAGGACTGATACTAGAATGTTGGCTTCTGCTATCTGATCTGGCTATTATAGAGGTAGATATGTCGAAATAGATAATTTTACGGTGTGAGATTCACCATCTCCTGACTATGATGAAGACAGATCTTACAGCTATACGTAGGTTGCCATAATATGGTACAGCTTCCATCGTTTTGCAATTTATAATACATAAGGTAGATTTGTCGGCGGGTTAAAGCATACTTTTAAAACTATCCACTTGGGCCATCTGCGGGTAAAATAGTATCAATGAAAAAGGTGACATGTCTCCAACTTTAAGTGCTTATAAAGAATCATTGCTATCGGCGACCAAGTCAGAATGAATTCGTTGTTAGGCTGATATTTGTTTTTGTCAAAATATTTATCTATTATATAGTATCAGTTTACATAGTGAGCTATATATATATATATATGTTGCTGGTTGTCAGTGTACGACTGACTGATCACCTACCATGTAGGGTAACATATTAATTGGCACGTTCCATGACAGTTTGTAAAGTCTAAGTACCATTTTGTGACAGATGAATTAAAGATTGACAAGAGAGAGGAGAGAGAGAGAGGGAGAGAGAGCGGGAGGGAGAGAGGGGGAGGGGGAGAGAGAGAAAAGGAGAGACAGGGAGGGGAGAGAGAAGGAGAGAGAGAGAGGAGAGGGAGAGAAAAGGGGGAGAAAGAAAAAGATAGATGGATACGGAGAGGGAGAAAAGGGGGAGAGGCAGAGACATTGAGAGAGAGTATCGGAGTCCAATTAAATACAGCGTATTTGCGTAATAGCATCAATATTCCACAAAATGCTTTCTTGTCTGGGTGAATCTGTGACTACAATTTTGTACAACTTTCTATACTTATAAGAGACCTACCTTCGTCATTGTCATGGCATGTTTATTCATAAGAGACTTACCTTCGTCATTGTCATGGCATGTTTATTTATAAGGGACTTACCTTCGTCATTGTTATGTCATGATTATTTATAAGAGACTTACCTTCGTCATTGTTATGTCATGATTATTTATAAGAGACTTACCTTCGTCATTGTCATGGCATGATTATTTATAAGAGACTTACCTTCGTCATTGTCATGGCATGTTTATTTATAAGGGACTTACCTTCGTCATTGTTATGTCATGATTATTTATAAGAGACTTACCTTCGTCATTGTCATGGCATGATTATGTATGAGAGACTTACCTTCGCCATTGTCATGGCATGTCTATTTATCAGAGACGTACCTTCGTCATTGTCATGGCATGGTTATTTATAAGAGACCTACCTTCGTCATTGTCATGGCATGATTATTTATAAGAGACTTACCTTCGTCATTGTCATTGCATGTTTATTTATAAGACACTTACCTTCGTCATTGTTATGTCATGATTATTTATAAGAGACTTACCTTCGTCATTGTTATGTCATGTTTATTTATAAGAGACTTACCTTCGTCATTGTCATGGCATGATTATTTATAAGAGACTTGCCTTTGTCACTGTTATGGCATGATTAATTATAAGAGACTTACCTTCGTCATTGTTATGGCATGTTTATTTGTAAGAGACTTACCTTCGTCATTGTTATGGCATGTGTATTTATAAGAGACTTACCTTCGTCATTGTCATGGCATGTTTGTCTATAAGAGACTTACCTTCGTCTTTACCATGGCATGTTACACGCAGAATAATTGTGGTCACTTTGAACACAAACAGGTCTTACAAACGTTATGAAACCTCTGGAACAGGATGATGCTACCTGTCTGCAAAACGTTACTATCGAATATCCATTTCTAGTTTGGTTTGTTTTATTCATCATCAAACATGGACGTTTTCTTTTGCCCGACAGGGGTGGTGGGGTGGTCGAGTGGTTAAAGCGTTCGCTCGTGACGCCGAATACCCGGGTTCGATTCCCCAATTGGGTACAATGTGTCAGGCCCATTTCTGGTGTCTCCCACTGCTGGAATGTTGCTAAAAGTGGCGTAAAACCAAACTCACTCACTCACTCTTTTGCCCGACACTGCATATTTTATTGGGACATATTGTACGAAAGGGACGTGTTGTTTACATGTACAATTAAACAATAATAGAATATATTCGGAATGAGATATTCAAAGGTTTGAATGCTTGTTTAGTCCATATTTTTTTCCAACGGCGGGTGTCATACATGTTTGTCTTATATGTTAATATACATTCTTCTAACAAGACATAACAAAGGAGTGAGGTAGCTGTAATGTACCATAAACAATATAATTATAATACTAGACAATCATCTTTCGTCCATCCCTTAATATAATGCCAGAGTTTCGTTTCCTAACACATTCATTTGTACATTGTTTTCAACGCCGAATAAACTTGTTTGGTGCATTTGCTTGACATTATCACTATATAATTAAAATTCTCAGCAATTCGACGTCCAGAGAAGCGAGTGATTGAGTGAGTTGAATTTAACGCCACACTCAGCAATATTCCAGTTATATGGCGGCGGTCTGTAAATAATCGAGTCTGGAACAGACAATCCAGTAATCAACAGCATGAGCATCGATCTGCACAATTGGGAACCGATGACATGTGTCAACCAAGTCATCGAGCCTGACAATCCGATCCCGTTACTCGCCTCCTACGACAAGCATGGGTTACTGAAGGTTCATTCTAACCCGGACCTTCATGGGTTCCAGAGTAGCGACATGAACCTTTCGTTTTGTATTTGTTTGTTTGCTCTTTGACGCCGCACTCGGCAATGTTGCAGCTATATGGAGGCTGTATGTGATTAACCGTGTCGGGACCAGACAATCCAGTGATCAACATCCTGAGAAACGATCTACGCAATTGTGATACTACCAAGTCAGCGAGCCTGACCACCCGATCCCGTTAGTCACCTCTTACGACATCCATGGGTTACTTTGGACCAACTCTTACCCGGATCTTCACGGGCCTCGGGAAACCTTTTAATACGGGGATCGAATCCCGGTTTGTCCTTTCCACTATTACAGTGAGTAAACAACATGCTCGTCCTGGTTAGTTTCAGTAAAGTGGTAAACGTCCGACACTTTCATCACTTCGAGATTTCCCCCATTATCCTGACACCCCCGATATGATATACCTGGAATAATGTTCAAAGCGGCGTCGAACACAAATTACTTACTCACTCGTTGGTTTGACAAAACTAGTTGACCTTAAGGTCACATGCCACGCAATACACAACTTTGCAGGTTACTGATACCTTTTGGTATGGACTTACAGCAACAAATTATCAAAAGTGCAAACTTATAAACTTGAAAAATAACGCGATGAAAAACCCCCCACGAAATGAAGTTCAAACGATTCACTAAGTGGTATAGCGCATGCGCAGTGAATAGGTTCGCGCAGTTTGAGGCCGGATGTCCGGATTATAAGGTCGTGAGCAGGAGTAGTTTAATCTCGGTTGTGTACACAAACAACAAATAGTAAATAATCTACTCGTTACATAAAAGTGAGTGAGTGAGTTTAGTTTTACGCCACAGGGAGCAAAATTCCAGCTTTGGGCAAGTCAAAGGTTTCAGAAGCTTTGGTGTTTAGGCTTTTGAATCCGGGTTCATCATCGTCATTTACGTCTTTTGAAGCAGTCCCGAAATTTGTCCTACTGTGGACTACTCCCGCAATAGTATTCATAAAAGATGTAAAAAAAAATTTAAAAATTATTTAAGTTCTCAGAAATGTCTTAAGAATACTCATATGTCGGTAATAAAATTCTTATCTCAGAGTTACACTTAAAAGTATAATGTAGTTATGATGGCTATGAGGGTAACTCTTAGCTCAGAGCAAACTTAGTAACTCTTAGATCCGACATTGGACTCCTAACATTGGCTCACTCAAAGAGGACTCTTAAGGCTTTATAAGAAAATTCTCAAACTTAAGAGTAACTTTCACTAAATTCTCAGTATTTTCTACCCTTCGGTGTAACTTTCTATTTTGAGAACTTTCATAAATACGATCCCAGACTTTAAATAACAAACATTAGACTAATCTATTTAGGTACCAATGTTAGAATACCAATACTAATGAGGTAAACCTTATCATTGAAGGCTCTGTTTTGCTCAAGGGCAATGAAGATGTACACGACGCAGTTTTCACCACGGTTGTAATGCAAGACTGTGGTATTTGTCACTTAGAAACCCCTTCGCGTCACTCTGGCAGGAACCCGTGAAGATCCAGGATAGATTTGATCTTCAGTAACCCATCGTAAGAGGCGACTGACGGGCTCACTGTTGATCACTGTATTGTCTGGTCCAGATTCGATTATTTACAGACCGTCGCGATATAGCTGGAATATTGCTGAGTGCGGCGTAAAACTAAAATCACTTACTCACTCTGGCAGGAAAGTCCCTGAAGTAACACCTCTACCAGGTTTGGATCACAAGGATACAGCACTCTGCACCAACATAGCATTTAATTACATAAACGAAATACACACAGCCCTTTTTAACCTACCCCTCATAAAGAATGGTCAACAAAGGAAGATGAAGGTCAAGCATCTTCCATTCGAGACTGGCCCGTGAAGATCCGGGTTAAAATTGGTCTTCAGCAACCCATGCTTGTCGTAAAAGGCGACTTACGGGATCGGGTGGTCAGGCTCGCTGATTTGGTTGACACACGTCATCGTATCCCAGTTCCGTAGATCGATGCTCATGCTGTTGATCATGGGATTGTCTGGTCCAGACTCGATTATTTACAGACCGCCGCGATATAGCTGAAATTTTGCTGAGTACGGCGTTAAACAGCAAACCACCCAAACCAACCATTCGAGACTGGCCACTGAAAGCCTGGTGTATTCCACCTCGCTTGTTGTATGTAACAACTAGTGTCTTTACTGATATACGTGGTAGTCTCTGAATTATTATCGTCAGTTAGTTTATATCGCTTCCTGTCTCTTCCGCTCGGATCGGGCGTTGATATAGACAAAGCAAAAACCAGTTAGTAGCATGAAGGTTTTATTGTCATAATTCTTTTAAAGGCATAGGCGTTTCAAGTCTTTGAAAGGCATTTGGAATTTGAGCTACATGAATACATAACACGTTTTGAGGATTACAAATTCTTATATTCCTTTTAAATCCGTTATGTGAACAAAATATCATGCATATACTCATGCCAATAATGGTTGTCACCCCCTTCAATTTATTTTATTGGAGAGGGTGTGGGGTGTGGGGTGTGGGGTGGGTGTGGGGAGGGGTGACAACCATTATTGGCTTGAGGATATAATTAAGCACAGCTCTGTAACGCCGTTAATAGAATAAAGTTTACTGGATGATGTACATGAGAAAAATGTCTTTTAGTAATGAAATTATGTAAGTAAGAAAGATATTTTATCACAGTTAGCAGTAGATGTGTGCCATAACTAGAAATCTCTTTTCAAAGCATTAGACCTAATTACAGCTTTACAGAAATAATTAGAAATCTTTACATCCCTATAACCTTTCGTTCTAAAAATACATCAGATCACATTTTGACCAGTTGTATTGTTCATAGATAATATTAAGTGCTAGGTTCTGTGTACAACATAGTTTTTTTCTGATCAGATGTAGACAATTATGTACTGTTCACAATTTCATCGCTTTGCTTCCTGTAAATCCATAGTAATGAAGAATACCGATTAACGTCCATCGGTTGACATTGATTCTCATTTTCTGTCAAGAATTTCCCAATTTATTGTGACATTCTTTTGCTCATTAAAATCGCCAATAACACCATTAATTGGTACATGTGGTATTTAAAGCATTAAAAGTTCATTCCCAATATCTTGAAGTATTTCGAACGTCAACGATCACATCTCTCCAGCAGACATCAGTAGCTCTTTGGAGCATATGGAGGAGGTGCTTGTCCATATCCTTGTGCTTGTCCATATCCTTGTGCTTGTCCATAGCCTTGTGCTTGTCCATATCCTTGTACTTGTCCTTGTCCATACGACGCTGTAAAAGGAAACAACAAGCATTTTGATACCATTAACTGTTAACGTCTATCTCATTTGCTAGAGAGAAATACACCCTGTGTTTGACAGTGTGAGCTGCAATTTGTATGTATGTCTAAACAGTAATATCAGAGCAGACACGATGTTGCTGGAATAGTGGTCAAAAGCGGCGTAAAACTGAACTCACTCAATAGCAAAACATCCAGGTGAGCTTCAGTTACCTGGTTCTCAATATAGAACGCCAGTTTCGATTATTTTAAACAGACTGAACTTGGCGTGAGAGACAAAATCGCAGTGGGAATATTATTATTGAACTGATAAACATTGTCTTGACCCGCCTAGGAAGGCCTATGTACTTTTAGCACCTTACTGGGCGGTAGAGTAGCCTAGTGGTTGAAGCGTTCGCTCGTCACGCCAAAGACCCAGGTTAGATTCCTCACATGGGTACAATGTGTGAAGCCCATTTATGGTGTCCACCGCCGTGATATTGCTGGAATATTGCTAAAAGCGGCTTAACACCATACTCACTCACTCAATCAATCAATCGAACGTAGACGTGTTACTCGTGCCAAACACCCTCATACCGACCTGTTTTATCGTAAACATGTATTTATGCAATAAACTTAGAATACATAACAACATAAATAGTTTGTTTCTGATTCCCGATATCGTTTGCTACTTGACATTCTATTCATGGATTTGATTTGGCTTCCGCAGTCCGTGATACCTGTCTAATATGTGTGAACATAGCCGTTAAAGACAAAGGGCGTGGTTCCCTTGGAACAATCTGTGTTAGAATTGATCTTCAGCAATTCATGCTAGGCAACTAAAGGGATTGGGTGGACACATGACATCATATCCAAAGTGCGTAGACCGATGCTGATGCTTGATCACTGGATTGTCTGGTTCTTATTTACAGACCGCCAACATATATCTAGAATAGTGCGGGGTTAAACAATTAATAAACGTTAATGTAACATTGTGTGTTTGTATGTGAGATCGACATTGACCAGTATTTATATCATGTAGAAAATTCACTATGGTCATATAGTCCTAATCTGAGCATATGCAACGCAGTAGGCTAAATAGACCTGACTGTACACATCGTCGTGATTATGTACCTGAAGATGTCGTTGCCTGCACAACTGATACGCCTGGAGACGTATTGCAGTGCGTTGTTCTAGTGTAATACCGACGTCGGCAAATGAGGCCTGCAACGGCGGCGAAGAAGATGATGGCACCGATGATGATGCCGATTCCAGCTCTGAAAAACGCAAAATGAGGGAGAGTTTAGTTGGTATGCTGTTTAACGCCGCACTCAGCAATATCCCAACTATATGATGGTTGAGAAACAAGGTAAGCTGAAGTACATGCTTGGTGCTCAAGAGTATTAATTTAACAACAGTGTATGTCCTTTGGTGGTGTTTTGGCAACATGTGCTCAATGTTTGTGACGTGAAAGTCACAATCAAAAACAATTAGCAAACTATGTACATTGATTTTTGTTATTCTTCAAAATATACCTGCTTTAAACGTACACCAATTTTTTAGTTTTCATATTAACTATACGTGTAATGTCATTCACAAAATGCTCTGATCCAATAATGACCACTTAGGTTGTGATAAGTTTAAACTTCGCTAAAAATATCTTTGTGCCCCTAGGCCATTGTTTGCTCTTACCCCTGAAAAGCTGCAAGCCCTAAGGACCCAGAACCATAAAAAGTTGTTGGCCGTGATCAAAATGTGTAGGCCCTATATTTTAGCTACAGTATAAGTAATTCCCAGCAAGCAAAACATGTGACAACTAACAAACTGAGTTAAAGAGTTGGATTAAGAAATTTAAACTAGAAATAACTGAATGATATTTTCTGAAAAAAAATGCTCTGAGTTATAACGGGGATGGAAAAGGTGTCGGCCACAAGGACCTGCAGAAAACAAAAGCTGTGGATCCGAGTGGTTTTCAGTCGGCTTCGGGCCTAAGCACCGACGTTAATTTCGACGTGTTCATTAGACTTTTCATACTTATTCAATCATACGTAAACTGAGTATTTAACCAAGAAAGGTATTTTCTGAAGTTTTAATTCTCTAAGTTAGCTAACGAAAATATTGTTGATAGTTTTCATAGAATACATTAAACAGTAAGTGAGTGAGCTAAAACGTCACAACGGCAGTATTTCAGCCATATCATGACTAAACAAATTCTAAACACATGATGACTACACTAAAATTATATAATTGAGTGAGTTAAGATTTTAGTCACACAGGCAATATTTAAGCCATATCGTGACTAAAACAAGGTATATATTAATAAGAAATAAGTTTCATTATAAAATATGTCAGAAAGGACAGTAAAACACCTAGAAATCACAGATAGAATTGAAACTTTCTGGTATATAACATTAAAATTAGAACACTATTAAAAACAATACAGTTTAAAACCGGGCTACAGATCATCAACAACTAGAGACCATGTGGACTTACAATACTGTTGCTAACTGCCTAATAATTTTCATTCTAAATGTTAGACAAATGAATTGAGCCCAGCTAAATCGTGGCAAAAACAGGCCCGTTAAATCGCGGCTACCGAAATTCCAACTTGACTATAACGAAATTGGGGGAGGTAGCTAACTCACTGAACACACAAGATCCGGGTTAGAATTGGTCTTCAGTAACCCATGCTTGTCGTAAGAGGCGACTAACGACATCGGATGGTCAGGCTCGCTGACTTGATTTGACATATGTCATCGTATCCCAATTGCGTAGATCGATGATCATGCTGTTGATCATTTTGATTGCCAGGTACGGCTTCGATTCTTTACAGACCGCCACCATATAGCTGGAATATCGCTGAGTGCGGCGATAAACCATTCGTGACCAACTCGTGTTATTCCGGGACAAGCCGAATAGCGTCTTGGAGGTTACGGAAAGAGGCGAGTGGCGACGAATGGCGATAAACAAGACACAAACAAACATGAAACGTGTTTGTGTTATCACTGCGATACCAGCCACAAGGCTTTCAATCCCCCTGCACAGCTGTGTGTAAAGACCAGTTACAGTGAGTCAGGGGTGGAAATAACCCATTGCCCGACGTCCGAGTCCAGTGTTTTTTTTCTGTCGGGCAAGCAAATTTGTATATCACGCCGTACCGGTGTCCAGTTGACTTTCCAATGTTAATAATGTTGTTTATTTAAAAAAGCCACAAGAAAACGGCCCGTATAGTTGAAAAATGATCAGGCCATGTGATTTTACATGTGCCACTGTACCGGAGTACGCTAGCAATTTTAAAGTTATTTCCATCCTTGTGAGTGAGTATAGGTTTACGCGCTTTTAGCAATCAGCAATATCACGGCGGGGAACACCAGAAATGGGCTTTAACATTGTACACATGTGGGGAATCGAACTCGGGTCATCGGAATTGCGAGCGAATGCTTTAACCTCTAGGCTACCCCACCGCCCCTAAAAACCAGATGCAGGACGAGCTTGTCAACTTAGAATTACACCTACGTACCCGTTACTTAGGCAACAGTACACAAGCAGTGTGTCAGTACAGCATCCGAACATGCAGTAGATGTTTGAGAACTCCCCGTAGCATGTCTCCCCTGCCGTCCCTGTGAAACATAAACATCGATATATTTAGCAGAGTTTCCAAGTTAATTTTACAACAAGGGCGAGTTTGGTTTTTGTTTGTTGTTGTTTGTGTGTTTTGGGTTTTTTTTTGGGGGTTGTTTTTGGTTTTTGCCTGTTGATTGAGAATGCTTGTTCTCTTGCCTATATTGCAAGGCAAAAGCGAACCACAGGTTTACGAACACGCATGTAATTGTGCAAAGTTTCGTCCGTTAGACGTGTAAGGATCCTCTGATCGAGGGTCCGCGAATCACAGGAAGCTGGAATAATCTGGATTAAAACAATAGACATCCACTATCAGTTGAAGCTAAGCAGCCTTGAGCGCGGAGAGACCTTAGATGGTTGTACGTGTTTGGCAGCTTGACTCCGGAGAGTTTCTAGGACTTAGTCCTGCCCTACAACGAAGCACACGTGATACATGTGGTCTCACCTTAGGCAGGTGAGTTTCAAAATTGCCTCTGTTCACCCAGCAGAAAACTGGGTACCTGGTGTGATAGGTCATGTGACTATTAACCTTCTAGTGCCTCACAGGCAGCTTGGATTATCCGGGGTAATAATAATCAGATTGCCTGGGCGCTTAGAGCATGCATTATGCATGGAGAAATGCGTATGATAAATGGACTACTATTATTATTTCTAAAATTGCACAGTCAGAAACACAAGTGCAAAAGAGGGTGTGGCACACGAAATGAACCAAATGAAAAGCCGGGTCAACCATTCACCTGAAACACGGGAACATATGGATCAGGTTAAAAAAGCAAACTGCATCGAACAATATTTTGGTTATCGATTCGTCACATTTGTCAAATTTTGAAAAGTCAACCACATGCCTTCCATTAAAATTAATTACAGTCATTCGGACGTAATGCCTGAAGTATTATCGGAACTGATATCAAGATGATGTGATATTGCCGCACACCATTCTAAGACGAGGTGGCGTTGGCACAGGATGCCTTAGTTTCACCGTTAGTTACGACAGACGTTTATGTTTGGTTGTTGATTCGATTCTCACGGTACCTCAGATCATGCTATATTGATTCCAGCAATATTCACGTTGGGGACACTTCATTTGGGCTTTACACATTGTGTCCATATGTGGAATCGAATCTGAGCCTTCGGCGTGACGAGCTTTCGGGTTAACCATTAGGCTACCCCACTGCCCCTTCTGTGATTGCGAGTAGAATGGATTAACTTAATGACTTCCGGCCTACAAGCTCCATTCGCATCTCAAACAAGACTCGGTGATTTGATCACAATATTGATAAGAGAAGCATTAAATTTTGTCTCAGGACAAGCTGTGCTGACAGTCACACAGAGTTTTCGTTGTTTTTTTTGTTTTGTTTTGTTATTTATTTTTTAAAATATTTTTTATATTTTATTTTATTTTATTTTATTTTATTTTTGGGGGCAGTGGGGTGGGGATGGATTGGTGTTTAAGTCTGTTAACACTTTAAACAAGCCAGAATTGAAGATTTTTTGTACTACCACATTCTCGTCTCTTGTTTAGCTCTGTAACCCACCTAACTTGATACACCGTTACAGGTAGACACATGCAGTCAGAGCCCGATTAAGCTTCTGGACTTCGCACTGACTGACATCAAAGGCTACACACGTATGTTATCATGTATCAACCACATAACCTGATTATGAGACACTCCTTCCCATTGTTTTACAAGTGACGCCCCTTATTGTTATTTTAACAGTATAAGCGTATGAAGACGGTAATGAAATAGCATAGAAACTATATAACAATATGACATGTAAACCTGTATGCCTAACATGCAGTTTAGTACGTTTTATGGGTATTCTAACAATATTAATGCAGATATTCAACAAGACCTAAAATGTCGTATGTTGAATTTTATGAAAATGCTGTAAATTGCTTTAAAATGAAAAATATAAAAAACAAGACCTGAAGAGATAGTACTTTTTTACGTCAGTAAGAAACTGCTAATAGCTTACATAATAATACCAATCTAGTGTACAGCTATACAATTAGCACCGCCTATCTGGACAACATATGAGAGACAGAACAATACCAAATACCATGAAAGATATTTAAACCAAGTGGGTGTAATAAACCCAGATTAGACAATAACTTTCTAAGATATGTTTCTTTACGTGTCAGCTAAAGGTAAAGAGAAGGGGCATTGAACATGGAACAGGCTCTATAGCTATCTTCACGAATGATCGATATAAACAAACGTTAAACAAATCTGGTCCATGGTCTTCAACTGTATTATAATGTTTACAAGATGAATTTATAGACATACCAACAACGAAGAGGGAGAGGATGGCGGCCACAACACTTTCAACCTTCATATTCACGGGATGGCGGAGCGCAGTATGATATGCCCTGTTCTGATTCAGTTTTAACAAAGGTCAAGATATCGTCACAAAGTGCTGCTGCTGATTAACTGGAAATAGATACATGTGAGCCATGCGACAGTGGTCGTGTTTTGCGATACATGTGGGCAGGTAACTCTACCTCTTATCATATTGAAAGTTCGCGCGAAGTGGTCAAACCTCGTCATACTATAGGTCCGGTTCGATTCCCCACGTGGCTATAATGGTGAGTGAGTGAGAATGGTTTTATGCCGCTTTTAGCAATATTCCAGCAATATCATGGCAGAGGACACCAGAAATGGCCTTTTACACTTTGTTCTCATGTGGGGAATCGAACCCGTTTCTCCAGCGTGACGTGACGAGCGGCCGCTTTAACCATAGGCTCCCCCACCGCCCGGCTGCAATAAGTGAAACCCATGTCCGTTCTTCCCATGGATATTATTGGAATGTTGCTAACTGCGGGGTAAAATCAAACTAATTATTATGATAAGTCGATAACGCTTTAGAATACGTGAAGAGGGCTGTATACATTGCAGTATTCATCACGATAAACAGATAAAAAACATAGCGTCATAATGTTAATGACGTGGCTGGTCTTTTTGGTCGTGTTCATATGTCAGTGAGTGAGAGAGTGAGTTTAATTTTACGCCGCTTTTAGCAATATCCCTGCATTATCACGGCATGGGACACCAGAAATGGGCTTCACACATTGTACCCATATGGAAATCGAATCCGGGTCTACGGCGTGACGAGCGAACGCTGGGGATTTTGCTGAGTACGGCGTTAAACAGCAAACCACCCAAACCAACCATTCGAGACTGGCCACTGATAGCCTGGTGTATTCCACCTCGCCTGTTGTATGTAACAACTAATGTCTTTACTGATATACATGGTAGTCTCTAAATTATTATCGTCAGTTAGTTTTCCGTTGTGATTTTTATCTATGTTTCGTTTATATCGCTTCCTGTCTCTTCCGCTCGGATCGGGCGTTGATATAGACAGAGCAAAAACCAGTTAGTGGCATGAAGGTTTTCTTGTCATGATTCTTTTAAAGGCATAGGCGTTTCAAGTCTTTGAAAGGCATTTGGAATTTGAGCTACATGAATACATAACACGTTTTGAGGATAACAAATTCTTATCTTCCTTTTAAATCCGTTATGTGAACAAAATATCATGCATATACTCATGCCAATAATGGTTGTCACCCCCTTCAATTGTTTTTATTGGAGAGGGTGGGGTGTGTGGGGTGGGTGTGGGAGGGGGTGACAACCATTATTGGCATGAGTATATAATTAAGCACAGCTCTGTAACGCCGTTAATAGAATCAAGTTTACTGGATGATGTACATGAGAAAAATGTCTTTTAGTAATGAAATTATGTAAGTAAGAAAGATATTTTATCACAGTTAGCAGTATATGTGTGCCATAACTAGAAATCTCTTTTCAAAGCATTAGACCTAATTACAGCTTTACAGAAATAATTAGAAATCTTTACATCCCTATAACCTTTCGTTCTGAAAATACATCAAAACACATTTTGACCAGTTGTATTGTTCATAGATAATATTAAGTGCTAGGTTCTGTGTACAACATAGTTTTTTTCTGATCAGATGTAGACAATTCTGTACTGTTCACAATTTCATCGCGTGGCTTCCTGTAAATCCATAGTAATGAAGAATACCGATTAACGTCCATCGGTTGACATTGATTCTCATTTTCTGTCAAGAATTTCCCAATTTATTGTGACATTCTTTTGCTCATTAAAATCGCCAATAACACCATTAATTGGTATATGTGGTATTTAAAGCATTAAAAGTTCATTCCCAATATCTTGAAGTATTTCGAACTTCAACGATCACATCTCTCCAGCAGACATCAGTAGCTCTTTGGAGCATATGGAGGAGGTGCTTGTCCATATCCTTGTGCTTGTCCATATCCTTGTACTTGTCCTTGTCCATACGACGCTGTAAAAAGGAAACAACAAGCCTTTTGATACCATTAACTGTTAACGTCTATCTCATTTGCTAGAGAGAAATACACCCTGTGTTTGACAGTGTGAGCTGCAATTTGTATGTATGTCTAAACAGTAATATCAGAGCAGACACGATGTTGCTGGAATAGTGGTCAAAAGCGGCGTAAAAGTGAACTCACTCAATAGCAAAACATCCAGGTGAGCTTCAGTTACCTGGTTCTCAATATAAAACGCCAGTTTCGATTATTTTAAACAGACTGAACTTGGGGTGAGAGACAAAATCGCAGTGGGAATATTATTATTGAACTGATAAACATTGTCTTGACCCGCCTAGGAAGGCCTATGTACTTTTAGCACCTTACTGGGCGGTAGAGTAGCCTAGTGGTTGAAGCGTTCGCTCGTCACGCCAAAGACCCAGGTTAGATTCCTCACATGGGTACAATGTGTGAAGCCCATTTATGGTGTCCACCGCCGTGATATTGCTGGAATATTGCTAAAAGCGGCTTAACACCATACTCACTCACTCAATCAATCAATCGAACGTAGACGTGTTACTCGTGCCAAACACCCTCATACCGACCTGTTTTATCGTAAACATGTATTTATGCAATAAACTTAGATTACATAACAACATAAATAGTTTGTTTCTGATTCACGATATCGTTTGCTACTTGACATTCTATTCATGGATTTGAATTGGCTTCCGCAGTCCGTGATACCTGTCTAATATGTGTGAACATAGCCGTTAAAGACAAAGGGCGTGGTTCCCTTGGAACGATCTGTGTTAGAATTGATCTTCAGCAATTCATGCTAGGCAACTAAAAGGATTGGGTGGACACATGACATCATATCCAAAGTGCGTAGACCGATGCTGATGCTTGATCACTAGATTGTCTGGTTCTTATTTACAGACCGCCAACATACATCTAAAATAGTGCGGGGTTAAACAATTAATAAACGTTAATGTAACATTGTGTTTTTGTATGTGAGATCGACATTGACCAGTATTTATATCATGTAGAAAATTCACTTTGGTCCTATGGTCCTAATCTGGGCATATGCAAAGCAGTAGGCTAAATAGACCTGACTGTACACATCGTCGTGATTATGTACCTGAAGATGACGTTGCCTGCACAACTGATACGCCTGGAGCCGTATTGCAGTGCGTTGTTCTAGTGTAATACCGACGTCGGCAAATGAGGCCTACAACGCCGGCGAAGAAGATGATGGCCCCGATGATGATGCCGATTCCAGCTCTGAAAAACGCAAAATGAGGGAGAGTTTAGTTGGTTTGCTGTTTAACGCCGCACTCAGCAATATTCCAGCTATATGATGGTTGAGAAACAAGGTAAGCTGAAGAGTGAGTGAGTGAGTGAGTTAATATTTAACGTCACATCGGCAATATTTCAGCCATATCGTGACGAGGTAAGCTGAAGAACAAAAGAAGGTACATGCTTGGTGTTCAAGAGTATTTTTTTAACAACAGTGTATATCCTTTGGTGGTGTTTTGGCAACATGTGCTCAATGTTTGTGACGTGAAAGTCACAATCAAAAACAATTAGCAAACTATGTACATTGATTATTGTTTTTCTTCAAAATATATCTCCTTTAAACGTACACCATTTTTTTAGTTTTCATATTAACTATGCGTGTAATGTCATTCACAAAATGCTCTGATCCAATAATGTCCACTTAGGTTGTGATAAGTTTAAACTTCGCTAAAAATATCTTTGTGCCCCATTGTTTGCTCTTAACCCTGAAAAGCTGCAGGCCCTAAGGACCTAGAACCATAAAAAGTGAGACGTGATCAAAATGTGTAGGTCCTATATTTTAGCTACAGTATAAGTAATTCCCAGCAAGCAAAACATGTGACAACTAACAAACTGAGTTAAAGAGTTAGATTTAGAAATTTAAACTAGAAATAACTGAATTATATATTCTGAAAAAAAATGCTCTAAGTTATAACGGGGATGGAAAAGCTGTCGGCCACAAGGACCTGTAGAAAACATAAGCTGTGGATCCGAGTGGTTTTCAGTCGGCTTCGGGCCTAAGCACCGACGTTAATTTCGACGTGTTCATTAGACTTTTCATACTTATTCAATCATACGTATTTAACCAAGAAAGGTATTTTCTGAAGTTTTAATTCTCTAAGTTAGCTAACGAAAATATTGTTGATAGTTTTCATAGAATACATTAAACAGTGAGTGAGTGAGCTAAAACATCACAACGGCAGTATTTCAGCCATATCATGACTAAACAAATTCTAAACACATGATGACTACACTAAAATTATAAAATTGAGTGAGTTAAGATTTCAGTCACACAGGCAATATTTAAGCCATATCGTGACTAAAACAAGGTATATATTGATAAGAAATAAGTTTCATTATAAAATATGTCAGAAAGGACAGTAAAACACCTAGAAATCACAGATAGAATTAAAACTATCTGGTATATAACATTAAAATTAGAACACTATTAAGAACAATACAGTTTAAAACCGGGCTACAGATCATCAACAACTAGAGACCATGTGGACTTACAATACTTTTGCTAACTGCCTAATAATTTTCATTCTAAATGTTAGACAAATGTATTGAGCCCAGCTAAATCGTGGCAAAAACAGGCCCGTTAAATCGCGGCTACCGAAATTCCAACTTGACTACAACGAAATTGGGGGAGGTAGCTAACTCACTGAACACACATTAAAATCCGGGTTAGAATTGGTCTTCAGTAACCCATGCTTGTCGTAAGAGGCGACTAACGACATCGGATGGTCAGGCTCGCTGACTTGGTTTGACATATGTCATCGTATCCCAATTGCGTAGATCGATGATCATGCTGTTGATCATTTTGATTGCCAGGTACGGCTTCGATTCTTTACAGACCGCCACCATATAGCTGGAATATTGCTGAGTGCGGCGATAAACCATTCGTGACCAACTCGTGTTATTCCGGGACAAGCCGAATAGCGTCTTGGAGGTTACGGAAAGAGGCGAGTGGCGACGAATGGCGATAAACAAGACACAAACCAACATGAAACGTGTTTGTGTTATCACTGCGATACCAGCCACAAGGCTTTCAATACCCCTGCACAGTTGTGTGTAAAGACCAGTTACAGTGAGTCAGGGGTGGAAATAACCCATTGCCCGACGTCCGAGTCCAGTGTTTTTTTCTGTCGGGCAAGCAAATTTGTATATCACGCTGTACCGGTGTCCAGTTGACTTTCCAATGTTAATAATGTTGTTTATTTAAAAAAGCCACAAGAAAACGGCCGGTATAGTGGAAAAATGATCAGGGCAATTGATTTTACATGTGCCACTGTACCGGAGTACACTAGCAATTTTAAAGTTATTTCCATCCCTGTGAGTGAGTACAGGTTTACGCCGCTTTTAGCAATCAGCAATATCACGGCGGGGAACACCAGAAATGGGTTTTAACATTGTTCACGTGTGGGGAATCGAACCCGGGTCATCGGAATGGCGAGCGAATGCTTTAACCTCTAGGCTACCCCACCGCCCCTAAAGACCAGATGCAGGACGAGCTGGTCAACTTAGAAATACACATACGTACCCGTTACTTAGGCAACAGTACACAAACAGTGAGTCAGAACAGCATCCGAACATGCAGTAGATGCTGGAGACGTCCCCGTAGCATGTCTCCCCTGCCGTCCCTGGGAAACATAAACATCGATATATTT